CTTCGCCAACCTACATTTGAAATACAAGCTGCAGATCGGTACCCAGAGATATATCCAGTTACGAAGCCATGACTCTGGAAACCAGTTGCCACGCTTTCCAAAGAGCGCCTTTCCGTACATGCGAGGTGTCCGTGGCCTTGAAAGTGATATGGAAGACGAGGAGGATGAAGCCGCAGAAGATACTGCTGCGGACGCAACCAGTGGAAATGAGCGATCAAGGAAGAAGAAACGGAGGTCCTCCATTGCCCTCACCAGACGAAGGTCCAGTTTGGCTTCACGACTCGACGCCCCAGCCAACTCGGACAGGGCTGTTGATAATGGCACAGCGAGCAAACGGGAGACCTATCCTGAAAAACAGAGAAAGAAACTTGAATCATACTTGCAAAAGATGATACGCTTCCTGATTTTTCGACCGGATAGCAACCGTCTCTGCAAATTTCTCGAGCTCTCTGCGCTTGGTGTCCGTCTGGCAGCTGAAGGAAGTTATCATGGTAAAGAAGGATACTTGGTTATCCAGTCTTCCAAGGGCCTTGATTTCAGAAAGGCCTTAAACCCGTCCATGGTGAAGTCCCGCCACTCTCCGAAGTGGTTCTTGGTTCGGCACAGTTACATTGTCTGCGTTGACTCTCCAGAGGAGATGCATATATACGATGTATTCCTTATTGACCCCTACTTCCAGATCCAGGCCCAGAAAGTCCGCCTCAGGGATCAGAATCCAAAGGAGCTAAAGGAATCTGCAAAGCACCCGCAACATCATACCCTGAAAATACAAAACTCTGAACGCAGGATGAGGCTACTTGCGAGGAATGACCGCCAGCTTCGTCAGTTTGAAGACTCTATTCGTTTAGTGCTTGAAACTACCCCTTGGGCTAAGCCTAACCGGTTTGACAGTTTTGCACCAGTGCGACCAAATTGCTTTGCACAATGGCTCGTTGATGGGAGGGATTACATGTGGGTAGTCTCACGAGCAATTGCCCAGGCAAAGGATGTCATCTACATCCACGACTGGTGGCTAAGTCCTGAACTCTACATGCGTCGCCCAGCTGCCATCAGTCAGAAATGGCGCCTCGACCGTTTACTTCAACGAAAAGCACAAGAGGGTGTGAAGATCCTTGTTATAATGTACCGCAATATTAACTCTGCTATTCCCATTGACTCGGAGTATTCCAAATTCTCGCTCCTGGATCTACATCCCAACGTCTTTGTGCAGCGTTCTCCGAACCAGTTTAGGCAGAACACATTTTTCTGGGCTCACCACGAGAAGATTTGCATTGTTGATCATACTCTAGCATTCGTTGGTGGCATTGATCTTTGCTTTGGTCGATGGGATACCCCGCAACATCTAATTACAGATGATAAACTTACAGGTTTTGAGATGACCGATGCCCCCAAAGATGCGGATCATTGTCAGCTATGGCCGGGTAAAGATTACTCAAACCCAAGGGTCCTTGATTTTTATGACCTGGATAAGCCCTACGAAGAGATGTATGACCGTGAGGTGGTTCCACGCATGGCATGGCACGATATATCCATGCATGTTGTAGGGCAGCCCGCTAGAGATCTTACCCGTCACTTTGTTCAAAGATGGAACTACATTCTTCGTCAACGTAAACCTACACGGCCAACTCCATTCCTTTTGCCTCCACCGGATTTCAACTCTGCCGACCTTGAAGCTCTGGGCCTAGACGGAACGTGTGAGATCCAAATTGTTCGTTCAAGCAGCATGTGGTCCACCGGCACCCCCGATGTTGTTGAGTGCAGCATCATGAATGCCTACGTCAAGATGATTGAAAAGTCTGATCATTTCGTCTACATTGAAAACCAATTTTTCATCAGCAGCTGTGAAATTGAGGGAAAGAAAATAGAAAACCATATTGGTGATGCATTGGTCGAGAGAATTATTCGCGCTGCCGACAATGAAGAAGCATGGCGTGCAGTCATACTGATACCCCTTATGCCTGGTTTCCAGAACACTGTGGATACTGAAGGCGGAACTAGCGTGAGACTGATCATGCAATGCCAATATAGGAGTATTTGTCGTGGAGAGTCCTCAATCTTTGGTCGTCTGCGTGCTCGTGGTATTGAGCCTGAGGATTACATCCAGTTCTTCAGTTTAAGATCATGGGGAAGAATTGGCCCAAAGAAAAACCTGGTCACAGAGCAATTATACATACATGCAAAGTGCATGATTGTTGATGACCGGGTTGCTATCATTGGATCTGCGAACATTAATGAACGTTCTATGCTTGGCTCGAGAGACTCGGAGTGCGCTGCTGTCGTTCGAGACACTGACCTCCTCGAGTCTAGGATGAATGGGAAGCCGTATCTGGTTGGACGGTTCCCGCATACCCTTCGAATGCGTCTGATGAGGGAGCATCTTGGCTTCGACGTTGATGAGATTGTTGAAGAATATACCTCTGCCTTTGAAACAACGAATATAGACAAGACTCCTGGACACCTGCCTGATGTTGCAAGCCAGCATGAACACGGCCCTACTGATGGCGAAAATCAGGCTGAGAAAGATGATTTAGAGAGAAAGCAGAAAGTCCAGGAGGAGTTCCTGGCCCGATTTGAAGAAATGCACAGTTTCAATCATGACGTCGATTGGGAGCAGGCAGGCAATCCAAATCTCAAATCAAATAGGAAACTTACCGCAGACGCGAGAGTGACAAGAAACGAAGACCACCGGAAAGACTTAGAAGGTCATGGAGTCGATCAGATGAAACGTAATGGGGAGATCGTTGGCACTACAGGTCGCGATACTGTCCTCAAGAACAGCGTCGAAGTTTTGGTTACAGGCACAGTCAAGAATAACACGGCCCCATCCACAATGCCATGTGATAACGCATCTGATGTAGCAGGTTCAATTGCCAATACTAAACAACCAACTGCCCCAGGTACGCCAGAGACCCACCCAAGGAGCGTTTCAACATCCAGCCCCCGAATGACAGTGCAAAATCGATCTGCTGCAGCCAACGCCACCGACGATCATATACAACCTTTCTCTCTTGACGCCACACAACCGAAGAATACCTCACATTTCCTTTTGGACGAACCGAGACGACCAATTCTCGACAAGGATTGTATGAAAGATCCGCTCCTTGACTCGTTTTATCTGGACACTTGGCAAGCCATTGCAGAGAACAACACCAAACTCTTTCGGAGCGTATTCCGCTGCATGCCAGATAGCGAAGTTAAAACGTGGAAGGATTACAAGGAATATACGGCATATGCGGAAAGGTTTGCTGACATGCAAAATCATTGCAATGCCTCAGCCCGAAGTCAGTCTTTCCCCCGTAACGGTCCTTCTGGAGCAAATAACGGCTCGCCAAATGGCGGAAAGTTGGGGACCGAGCTTGGAAGTGCTCTCGAGGAGGTGAAGGAGAAATTTGGAACCCATCATTCTTCCGAAAAGGATAAGGAATTGCATGCAAACTTGCACCAATGGGCGGTAGAGGCCAATCAGGCACAACTCGAACGTCAACAACAGGAACAACTCCACGTCGATAAGTCCGTTCCACACGCTGATATTCATTCTTATTCCGTCAACAACGCTGATGCAAGATCGTCTAATTCCAGCCGTAATGCGGAATCTTCCCACACTCCTGTGGCGCCAGAAAAGAATGTTGAGGTACCTAGGTCTTCACAGTCCGAGGCCCCAGCCCCAAGTATTGGCATGTCACAGCGACGAAGGCGAAGGGCAAATACCCGTAGTTCAAGAAAAGAGTTCCACGCGGTAGATGATATTATGGACATGCATGAAGCAGCCGAATTGCTTGGCTCAGTGCAAGGCCACCTGGTTCTTTGGCCATATGAGTGGTAAGCTGACATTCTTATTCCAACTTAAGCGTTGCTTACTACGCTTTACTGACAATTTGCCCATTTAATAGGCTTGAACGCGAAGAACAAGGAGGTAACTGGCTCTATACACTTGACCAAATCTCTCCTCTTGAAATATAGTAAGTACTCCTTCCCACAATATGCCGTAGTCTAGTGCCTAACCATGATACAGTAATTGAACAAGAGCTTTCTTGCAGTATATATATCTCTGCGCTCGTTTCTGCGCATTCCATTAATACCCACAATTCCCCTTCTCTCGTTATTATATTTCCTTTAATCTCGTTCCCCTTCCGCTTGGAGCATCTGGAGCCACGGTCATCTATCGCTTGCTTGATAAATGCTTTTCTAATTTTATACTTCCTTCGCCTGTTAGTATTGTTGATTATATTTAACGCTTATATACTATTCCTGTATATCTCTGTTATTATTGTCTTTTCATTGCATCCTATTCAGTTTAATATAGATTTCTAGTCAAGTTTAATAATATAAAATGCAACACTGCCTCCAAATATATTGCATATAGTGCATGCATATGCAGCGCTAAACGACCAGGTCTTGCATACTCGATGGCTTCTCCGAGAATTGGGCTGCAGGCAATATGCATAACTCACCGTGATATGAACACGATATGCATCCACTACAACGTGGGAATCGTGTATATTTAGATCAGCCTCATGCATAAGCACGAAAAAGCCAGAAGATCCGACCCGCTCCTCGTTTACGAGACTCGACGGATGACTGGCAGATGACAAGCATTCAGTTCAGCCTGATGAACACGGAGGTGCATTCCAGGTAGATATATCAATCCGGTCGGGGTCAGATATCGACCGATTGGCCTATGATTTGGTTAATTGCTATATATGGTATCAAGGTATAGACAAAGCGAACTATGTACAAAACGCATGATGCATCTTGATTTCTGCATGTAATGCTCATCAATATATCGCAAATTTGCGAAATTCTCCGCGGCGAAATAAACAATTAGTATACAACCCCCCCCTTTTTCGATGTGAATGGTATATTGGCCCAGTAGTACCCAAAACTCCCGCTCAAGTTAAACGTCAATCATGTAATGAAAAAAAAAAAAAAAAAACGGAAAGAATTTGTAATATTTGGTATCATCCCGATCGCCTCGCTCCTGAGATATACGAGACGATCGATCATTTCATCCATGTCCATATCCATTTCACGAACGTTTTTCCGTTCTCTGCAGTAAAACCATCGTCTGGGAATTCCAAACGCCCCTTCCTGGTCTTGCTTGTGACCTGGACGGTGTTTTGAAGATCGTTCGAGCGTTCAGGGCCCCATCTCGAGAAGTGGAATCCGTGTTTCTTGAATTTATAGCCGATAACTAGAAGGAAAAACACGGGCACCCCGATATACGCGGCAAGGAAATGCCTGACGTTGAATGGAGTCTCCAGGAAGGCCCCTACTCCGTTAAAGATAATAAGGATGAGGCAAGAAAATAGCCCATATGCTCCTTTAAGCCATTGGCCGTGAGATTTGTATGGGTAGCGCGGGTGGTCTCGTTCGTAGCAACCAGACTGCGCCTGGGAAGTGTTCCCAAGGGTTTTTGCTTCATCAAGTCTGGAAATACACGAATTAGTATATAGTTTTGACCAATGAGGGTACCCGAGATTGTTACAGCAGAAGTACTTACGTTCTATAAAAGCATAGATACGTCCCACAGATTGCAGTATATACAATCAAACATGAAACCGTGCAGTTTGTCGCAAGCTCACCTAGTCTCTGTATGAATAGTTTATATTAGCATAAACTTACCAAATGGAAAATGAAGTTTAATCATAGTGAATCACTGACCTGACCAGGACCGCCAGTAGGCCCCATATATGCAATCATCATCAGACCAGCTGTTGCAAAAACAGTTCTCAGGGGCACACCCAAATGGCATTCTTGTAGCCTTCGAGTAAGCCATCTTGGGCCGGTTTGTTCTCGCAGGGCTAACGTATGTAGTACTCTTGACGCCACGTACATCGAGTTTATGGCGCAGGTAAATGCCGAGAAAACATACATGGCGTTGAAAAAGTGGGCAACGGCGGGTAGACCAGCTTCGACGACAGCGATAAGGAAGACAGATGAGCTACCGACTGATTGTGCCTTTCCGTTCAAAAATGGATGGTTTCGTGGAACCAGGAAGGAGGCAGTAAGCATGGCGAGAGTATAAAGCGTTATGACACGGAGGTTGATCTTTCTGGCCGCCATCTTCATACTCTCAGAATCTGCAAGAGATTTGCTTTCTGCAGCTGTAGCGGCGACAATGTCCATTCCCACGTATGAGAATATCACGTTAATGATAGTTGTCCTGACTAGAGGTTAGATATCATGAAATTTTTGAACAGAGTCGTCGAAGTAAAACCCACCACATCCCCAGGAACGAACCCATGGTTCCCTTGATTTCCATCTGGACGGTGTTGTCCTCTCCTCGTACTTTGTAATCCCGACAGATGAATGAAAACGGTTGGTCCCAGTATTTAGTCCCAACTGGGTCTTTGTAGTACGCGTTTGATCGAGCTATAGCCGAAGGTTAGGAAAGATGAGGTATAAGTAAGGAAGTATGTCACTGGACGAACGTTGCATAGTATCCAGCACAACCATCATGACGATGATCATTGTGATGAAGCTGAGTTTTATACTACCGAATAAATACTCCAACTCGCCATAATACTATCAGACCTGTCAGTAATGGAATGACGATGGTAAAATAGAATATCATGGTTGTCCAAACCTTCACAGGAAGCATGTTTATCATCGTAACGAGGAATAAAAACAGTGATGTCCACACTGCAGGGTGTACGTTTTCACCAGTTTCCCAGTGTAAGAAAGTCTTCCCGTCATCGTATCGGAATCTGACAGAATTAGTCACTGCAACAAGTTGATCTGCTGCAAGCACCGCGTAGGCAAACCTGTGAGCCAATATATATCAGCAACTTGTTTTCAAGAGAGGGTTAGGATTAAGGAATAGTTATAAAGGGAGTCTAACCAGTACACCCAGCCGACGGCAAATCCAACACCTCGATCAACGAAACGCCGGGGAAACTCCATGACCGGGGCATTAACAGGCATGAGAGCTGTCATCTCGCCTAGGCATGAGATGACAGATGATATAACGGTAGCCATCAGTAGGTAGCAAAGCACGGCACCTCCAGGGCCAGCACCAGCTAGAGATCTTCCACTCCCGAGGAAAAGACCTGTAACCAGAGTTAGAGCGAGATGACGGTATATAAGCCGTGTCTGACAGAGTCGACTTACCATTTCCTATTGTTCTAATAGGTAGCAAAGTTGCATGTCAGTAAGGGGTCAACAGTTTATAGCAGGACATTGTAGATTGGCCTACCCTGAGAACGCAATCATCTATAGTATAACGCATGTTAGCAACCTCCATTACTCCATCAAACGAAACTAAAATGAAAATATCCTGTGGTATCTTGATGGATGGGGGAGAGGAGGCGGAAGACTTACGTTGATCTGTCTCTCGCCCAGCACTCGCCTATACAAAGAGAGAACTTGATGTCAGCCAACGTCCAATGCCCAACGTCCAACGTCCAGCAAACAACGACATCATCATCATCACCAACAACAACGACAGCCATAAGTCATATCAATGGCTACCACCTTCGTCATGGATCAAGAGAGCGGGTTCTTATATACCAGACACTGAATCCCTTACGAGCGCGCTGCTCTGTGTCAAAAGTCGGCTCCTCCACCATCGCCTCCACCATAGTTCGTTCTGTGGGCGGATAGTCTGTACTCATCATCGTGGGCTCCGTGTGGTATTCATGATAGCTTGGAAGCGAGTTTGGGGGCTTCTCAGCAGGATCCATGGTGCTCGATACTGCCGTGTCTCGATGGGCTTTTGTCCATATACAATCCTCCTCCAGCCCCGGATAACAGCCCCTTCTCGGTCAACCAGAAATCGATATAGTCAAGGCCTAAGACGTCTTTAGAATGCGGAGGTCGAGGCCGGATTTGAGGATGTCCTCCCTGAGAGTCGAACGAAGAGACTTTGGCTGTGTTATGTGTCAGGGAAGGGATATACGTTCAAAAATGAGTAAAAAAGAAGCCGTCAAAGCCCAATTTAGAGGTTATGAGAGCAGAAACTTCGGAGAGCGGCTGATATCGACATCTCTTGCATCCCGTCGGTTGTCTTGTCGCTTAAACGCAGGAATAATAATAATATTTGGCCCTGATTGCAGTTTCAACCCCGCGGGTAGATCAACAGGCAACGGCTCGGTTTACCCAAAGTTGCAATATGAAGGAATCGGGGATGCTTGAAGAATAAAAGCCACTGATTCAGAGCGCGGCCTGCAATTACTGAATAAACTTCGGGTGAATGGTGGAAGAAGGCTGATCATCGGCTTGCACTTCTCGTATCAAGACACACTAAGATGCTGCGGTACCAGGACTTGGGCACTGCAGGGAATCACTCCCTGGTCTCTGAAAAAGAAAAGAGCCATGCCCCCAGAAGCAAAAGGGAAAAGCGTAAACCATGAAACGGGCCATGGTGGCGCGGTACTACTCGGGAAGTGGATGAAGATGAATGCTGGTCCTTGTCCATCAAGCCTCGATGCTGGACTAAAACCCACTAGCAGGGCTGCTACAGGAGTCAATCTACAGCTTTACAACACATACCAGCGAAGTTTGTTCCCTCGCCTCGCTCGTGATGCGTCAGAGCGTACAAGAGGTTTCGTGACCATGGAGAACTACTCCGTACGGAGTACGGCTTCTCGTCTGATCCGGGGGGGAAGGGGGGGGGGGGGGTGAAGGGAGCTGGAGCCTCTTGTATGCGGTGTGGTATAAAGACGTGGCCAACTGTGGACGATTGTATCAATGCACGTTTGCTAACCTCGAAAGACATCACCAACCAGACCGTCGAAGAGATGAAGTCATTGTTCCTTTTTGTCTGGCTTCCACGGGCTGTTCGATGGCCCGCCTCCCGCTCAGCCTCAATCTTTTTGAATGAAGGGGAAATCCCATATCTCGGCGAACCATGAATATCATCGGAGCGATGATCTTCGTAAATACTCTGATGGGCCGTCCAGATAAAACAGACAGCATGGGCGCGGACTGCAATGATGTGAGTGTGTGAGCCAAACCCGCAAAAGAAATCAAACGTCGTCGTGTGGTCATTTTGCTTCGAGAAGCAAAACACCGAAGCAAGGCCCTCGGCAAGGATAGGACATATTATATATCATTTTTCTCCCGTCGACAAAAAGAAAATGGTGTTAATAATCTATCGCTGCGCTTGTCTTGGAAACCGAACTTATTATTCCACGTTATATGATAAACGTGGGAAACAATGGATGAAGGATTTAAGACGGGAATAACTAACGGATAAATCCAGCATAAGATTGGGAAACGGGCGGTCCTGAGAGAGGTACAATTTTGTTACTCAAAGATTCCTATTTGTCTCACCCTTGAGAAGTTGTTGCGATGAGGTATACTTCTTCACGCAGCCTTCTGTACGATCCCTGGGGGCGTACCACTGATGCCAACCAGCTGGAGGGCTTGTTCACGAAAAATGAATGGATTCAGGAGTGAAAAGTATAACATCCTAGGATCTACGTATATATACGAGGCCGCTCTCCACACCTCCTGGGAACATTCCCTCGCTTTCGTCGCATTATTCGGCGTGTTTCTGCAAACACCTCTTTCGTCCATGCTGGAGCGACATGGCAGTGGAGATAGCTAACTCGCTAACTAACACTCAAGCTAAAATATGGAAGAGAGGAAGCACAAGGTCGATATAATAATAAAGAAGACAGGAGACGCTGATACTCTTCCCCAGAAATTTGACCCTCTGTCCGATCATGGCCAAACGACGAACGGAGAACACCCCCAGCTTGGGCATCAGCGCAAATGCCAAATTACCGCTGGAAGCCGATGCATAAAGGGGGAAGGGGAAATAGTTGCGAAAGCCCCCCTGATCGCTGACCTTCCTCGCGATGGCCGTGGCAGTTGATCGTTTCCCCAGGAACTTCAGGAGATAATCACGCTTACATTCCTGCCGCTGGAGGATAAAAAAGATGATAGCCTTGGCTTTCTTTCTGCTCTTCTTTTCCTTTTTGTTCGTTATGCCTTTTGCCGCAGCGTGTCTCTATCGTCAAAATTTGATTGATAATCCCACCCTCGGCAGGCCTCTAGACCACGGAAAAAGAAACGAAGGGCAAAAGGAGTTTTGTGCACCTCACAGGTGCAGTCAGGCTACAGCCAGTGTCTGTTCATGTGGATTTACAGCCCAGCTTCCGTACCCGCCCCCCACCTTGCTGGCTGCCATTTGTCCTCTCGCACTCCTACCCCCGGACTGAGCTTACATATGAAATGGCAGAGGCAAACCCTTGCTGGGAGGGCCCCAGCCATTCTCCTGGGGAGACGCAGACACATCTTGCGCAAGCGGATCCTCCCACCGCAAAGCGTACCAAGTGTAGAGACGCAAGCCAGTACGTAAGTAGAACTCGGGGAGAACGCACATCCTCCTTGAAGATGTGTGCTGCCTTGCAGTACGATATAGGCATCCAGCTATCATGCTGTCATCGACTCCCCGTCGCCCAGGCTCAAACGCCGCCCATCAAGACCAGTCTTCTCCAGTGTTGCCCACACAGGCTCCCTCTCCCACTTGGCTTTTCTTGTGACCCCCCAGCTGAGCCAGGCGCTCTTATTCGACCGAATGGGAGGACCAGCAAACTAGCTCATGGAGCAGCAAATCTTATCGTTGCTGGTGTGTTTGGCTCCGCCTGCTCCGCTTTTTAACCAGCAGTCCCTCGCTTGTGGTGTCCTTGATCTGATCCCAGCCACAAGGATCTGGGGAGACGGGACCCAGCAGCAGCCATTCTACAGGCAGAAAGGAAGGACGAAGAAGAAAAAGAGAAATCATCCACTTCAACGAACAGTTGGGAATGAAACATGCACGGAGTGTATTTTTTCTTTTCTCTGCAATCGAGGAAGCCTGACAAATGAGCGGGTTGGTCTGCCGAGCACTTGCTTGCGTCGTTTATATCGGGAAAAAACGCCTCCCGAAGCCGCAGAGGAAGAGAAAGAAGCTGACCAGAAGAAGACGAGATAACGGCCGGGGGAGTTCAAGTCCAACCAACCCTCTTCGAGCCCACCAGAGCAGATCCTGTGTCATAGTAACCGCACTAAGTGACTTTTCCTGGCACATCAATTTACAGTACTTATCTCCCCATACTCTCAGCCTTCCGCCCTACCAGAGGAAATTAAAAGGAGAAAACAAAAATTACAACGACAACAGCCATTCCGGGAGTTTATCGTATTTCCAACCGCCCATTGATTGGATGTTCTTCCCACAGAACAAAGCCGCAGCTGTTCGAATTCTTCCCCATTGTTATTCGGCCCGCTGGCCAACCGCCGTGGATAGAATCTACAAAAGGGCAGCTAACTCTTTTTGTATGGAGAAGTGAGCCCTTCTCGCCAGTTGCGGAGTACTTACGGAGTATCTGCTCCAGTTGTCTACGGGGAGAGGGGACAGATTAGTTAGCCATCTACTCCATACAAGCACTCTAAAGTACGGGAGGTACTACGGAGTACAAGTAGCGATATTCCTAATCTCCCAAAACAACCCGACTCCCGGCCGCGGACAGCCACATGAGCATATACATTTCATGTAACGACGGAGCTGAATGACGTCCAAGCAGCAGGCAGAGACAAACATCGCCTCAGAAAAGCAGATAGACGCATATCAGCAGAAACAGACAGTTGGACCAGGGGCTGAGCCGAACAGAAGTATTATTATTAACTGATACATACGGAGTACTACACTGGCCGCTCCAGATATACATCACTGCCTGACTGACTGACAAAAAAAATATAAGCACGGCTGCGCTTCTGGATCGTGGCTGGGCAGCCGCCTGAGTTAAAACTCTTGTATGTCCCACTTGATGCAGAGGGATCGTTAATTCGCTGGCCCGTTTGAAATTCGATATCTGGTTATTCTCCATCGTCGCCATTGCTGTCGTCCGCCTGTTATCGTTACCGACGAAATAGCCATCTGTCTACCTGTGGTCGTGCTGGACCTGGCTATCTCTTTTCCGATGGTCTACTGAGACTAGCCTGGAGCTATTCAGACCTCCTGGTTTCGCTAACAGGTTGAGCTTCCCGCTATGAAATGCCTTGCAATCCATCGTACGAAAGGCATCACCGAGCTATCTTGTCGCTGAAGTCGATCATCCGTTTCATGCCTGGCTAGGGGATCGGACCTGCATACACGTTGGTTCCAGAGTGTCGAACGCGCCGTATAACTGGAGTCAAGACCTTAGAACTGAAGCCCTTTCGAAAGGAAGCCGGTCTGCAAAACCAGAATACTGCTTAGCAGAAAAGTGGGAGTAGAGGAGAAGGACGGATACCAGGAGGAGAACGGGGAGCGGTTCATACACTTTTTCGAGGATACGGGAATCTGAATACTCTCCGTCAATCGAGCCCGCAACGGGCGTACGACCGAACCCCCAACCGGGGCCGATGCCATGGCTCTTGCAACTGCATCTACCCAGTTCCTCCATCTTGCGAACGTCTTCCGACTCCTCAGCCTTCGAAGCGATGCCGATGATATAATTTTGGAGCTCCTGGGCAGGTTCTCGCTGGATCGAATATACGCTGATAGCAACCGTGAGAAGTTCCAACAACTTGTCAGTACTCTGCTATCGCAACTCAACGCTGTCCTCTATATCCAGCGCCTATCGCTTCCTTCGGACAAGGAGCAGGTTGAAGAATATGTGGGGTTCCTGGCGAATTGGGAGACCATATCGCGGTCCATAGAATTCGTATTGCAGGTTGTTCTCGAGGGACACGAGAATCTGTTCAATGTCCACCAGCAGCTGGATGTGCAGCTGGCCGACCTTGTCTCTACAGCGTTACGTGTACTATCATTTCATCCCAAGAGCCTTCCAGATATAAAGGATCAGAAGCACCGGTTTGCTCGAATCCATCGGCTCCTTGATAAACTACACGACCGTTACCCAGGCCCAAGACCATGTCTCCTACTTATCTGCCGAGACATGGCTAATGCGTTACGTATGGATCCTACATCGCTCCCGCTGCCCACAAAGCTGATGAAGGAGATGCCCAACTTGGCCCTGGATTTGGTATGCTCCTCCCTTCCATATATCTCGTTATCTTACTCCTTTTATTTTTATCCTTCCTACATTGTTAAAGCTAGGTTGCTGACCGTATAACGAAGTACCCATTACATGACTGCTTGTCGGAGCGATATGTCTCTACTATTGCTGAGCAGGAAGGCCCCTTTAACAATTGGCTGACACAGTTTTTGGCTCTGAGAGATATCACTCAGTTCGTTGTTGGCGCCTCGATTCAGTATGCAGTTTCGGAGGAGACTGAAGACTTTGACCTCCCAGCCTCATGTGCCAAAACTAGAGATGCAATTCTATCCAGTCTGGATAAAATATACATGCCCAACAATTACCCAAAACTAGAATTGCTGTCCATGTTTAGCGAAGCATTCCGAACTATTTTGCCAGATACACCCCCAATCAATGGATTCCGAAATTTATCAGGGCTTCTTGGTGACGTCAATGGCGTAGAGGCCATCAAGTCATTCTGTTCATCGCTTTCAAACAGACAAATCATACATCGATCAAGCGACGGACCTTTGATGCATGCAATTGCAGAGGTGAACAGACGCATAACTCTTCTTGATGACCCAAATGAGACTTCCGAGGACATGGTACCTCGAGTGCCCCGAGTATATGCGCTAAATTGCAAGTCCTGCCACCTTGCTGGAAATACTCAATTACGGGTTCTAGAGCAACTTGAATTTCCGGTGCGTTTCTTCCGTGCAACTCTCTCTGGTGAGATAATACAGGCATTAACATTACCCGCAGAAACCGACCGAAGGGTCTGAGATTGGCCTACCCTCAAACACGAAATGTGTTCAATGCAAACAAGTAGTAACTCTTGCGCGCGAGATACCCCTCATCAGAGAAACATGGGAGCTACTAAATGATGTTGAATACAATGCCGATCCTCCCAGCGAGCTACGGCACTTCTCCCCTCCATATCAACTCTTTCCACCCAAAGTTCGTGACGTCAACAAATATACCTTACGTTTTGATTCCGGTAAAACTGATAGTATGCATATAGATACTCTCCGATCCATCATCATCTCTTAGGCCTCCGCAGAGTCCTAACCCAAACCCTAGCCCGATCACTATAGGGAGATCTCCTACCACCGCTACTAGCATATCACCAGTGTCACCCGATACAAGGCACGCTTTTGAAGATATTCATAATCAAGAACATTCATTAGGGTCAATAACGGAAGTGGTTAGCCCTGACGCTGAGATTTCTAGACAACATCTTACCAATACATCCGACCATTCCGCCCATAATGGTTCTGAGACCCATCGCAAGCAACCGGTTAAGATAGCAGATATCCATCGTACGGCAAGTCAGCATAGTGTTTCACCTCCCCGCCTTGGTACCTCGAGTAAGTCATTGCCTGGGAGGAAAATTTCGAGGTTGTTTAAACCGAAGAGAGAACACCGATCTACAGCCTCAGGGGATGCAAGCTCCCATTCGTCTGGATCAATGGAAAACCAGCGACCAGAGGAAATCTGCCTGAAGAATCTGACTAGTGCCGCAAAATCCCAAGGAAAAGGGAAGGTTTCAAAACTTATGAATGTCAGTCTTTCACAGAACAGCACCAATGCCCTATTCTGGATGCCCTCGACAATTCAAGTATGGGATGTTGGTGTGACGCCTGCAGCCGTGACTAGGATCATTCCCACCGAAGGCTCATGCCTCCTTGCTGCTGTTACGAAAAGATATCTAGCGTATATCGTTGGAAGCAAGGATCAAAAACTCACGGTGTGTGCATGCTATTATTACCTTTATTGTTTTGTTTCTATCATCTGGCAGACGCTCATAACTATTCCGTAGCTTCGAATCACCAATCTTTCTTTCCCCACCGCTGCACCCCTGGAATATCAAATGCCTTCATCTCAGTGGTGTAAGAGCATTGCCATTTGCCCAAGAGAGTCACACGTTGCTGTCGGATTTGAGAATGCCACTGTTCGATTCTTTAAAACCACCATGTTTGAGCCCCAAAGGGAGTTCCGTCTTCATAACCGATACCATACCCCTAGCGAATGTGAGAAGTGTCCACCTGTCGACACTCTCTCATTTTCGCCAGATGGGGAGACGCTCATAGCAAGCACAAGAAATGCGAAAGGCGTAATACAAACCTTCCTTCGTCGAGCATCAACGTTCACTTTCCAAGAGCTCTCCAACTGCCACTATCCTATTCCACTACATGAGTCGGAAGATGGAGGAATTTCGTCAGTCCTGTATAGGCCCGGCGTAGGTGGAGAAGATGACTTGGTGTGTATCACAACATGGACACAATCAGGTACACCGTTATTGTTGTCTCCCAAGACTGGGCATCGGGTCGAGATCAAAGCCGATGGCTCGGGACATGGACGTCGTCTCGGCACACGGGTACAATGTGGCGCTTTCTCCTTAACTGGAAAACAGCTCGGCATGGTAAACGACAAAGGCCACCTCTACCTTGTGACTAACCTTAACTCAAGTGTGATGGAAGCACGAAGGCTTGCTACTACCAAGGAGCTTACCGCAAGATGCAGCTTTTTCGCGATGTCGTTCATGGTACTCCAGGGTGACGAATCAATAGTCCTCGCTTGGGCAGATGTGAACAAAAGTGTGGGTTATATTCGCAGGATACCAATTCCATTTACTGTACGTATACAGCCCAACCCCGCTTGCTTCCCGTGGTGATACTAACGTATGTTGTACAGCATGGCGAGTCTACGGTGACGGACACCGCTTTGGCCCATCACCAAGATGTTACTGAACTTCCCGGAGACATTAGTGGCGGCACTTATTCATCATTTACTGACAGGTCTGGTGATACCTACCAGAATGCCACTCAATTGCCATCTCGACCTGCTGCTCGGTATAGGACCGTATCGTCGCGCCCAGTGGAGCTTCCTGCTACCGACGGGCTGAGATCCTTATCTTTAAAAACGCAGTAGACTGGGGGTTTTCTAAGACCATGAAACAGGAGATCCCGTCCTAGTTCTGTCAAGGCATGCTCTTTGTGCTACGACATCGCACCCAGACGAGGAATCTGGACATATACTTACAACTTCAGCCTTAAGCCTCCACTCACACTAGACGGGAGGTGGAGGTGTACCTTCAAGCTGAATGTGGCTTCGCGCCGTATCGGGATCAGACTCGGCCGGATAATCACTCAAGCTCCACTTGAACCAAGCCAACAAGCGACACCTGAGACGAACGGTAACTATTGACGCAGCGGGCGGCAGATGCCCAGTCTGAACGCCAAAAACTTGTAGGGAGACGATAGTTATTTTCGCTCAGACTTCTCCGTCAGTCTATCCCGACGACAATCCTTTTTGTTTTGGGAACATATCCTGCTTATTATTATTTAACTACTGGCGCAATCTCGACGGAGGACCAGGTAGCCATCAAATCCAAGATGAGGTCATACCGCACTTCCCGAGGGGAATCTGGACATGTACTTATTTATGCACGTTACTTATACGAGACGAGGGGGAGTACAGCTCTTTTGCTTTTGGGCCTTGAATCTAGACACGGATATTACATATAATTCATTCTAATTGTATTAGTAGCTCGGATGAGAAGTAAAATATGAAAACATGAAAGCCGTTGGAGGGTCCAAGCCCCTGTTATGAGTTGTTTGCTTCTCTCCTACCAATCAGAAGATGGTTGTGACATACCCTCCTTGGCTGCTACTCGGAGGCGTTAGATATATAAACAATGGGGAAACAGACAAGGGCGGGAGTGAATATCCGCTATTTTTGCACTCTGAAGCCACTGTATTGGCATCTTCTGCGGGTTATTTGACAGGCAATTATGGAGAACCAGCGGGTTTATAACGATGTTCAGAAGCACTATGGTTTAGCCGCTAGAACTAGTGACGATAACGCCTATAGCCGAAAGGTGGCGGCGGCCTTTGGATACAGCGAGGAAGAACTGGCCAACACGCCGGCAAACGCCAATCTTGGGCTGAGCTGCGGCAACCCACTGGCATTGGCAAACTTGAAAGAGGTCTGAGATTTGTTTAATTGATTTGCAATATATCGCTAACTCGGTAAATAGGGCGAATGTGTGATTGATCTCGGCTCTGGCGCCGGATTCGATGTATTCTTAGCTGCGAAGGCCGTGGGTTCTACCGGCAAGGTCATCGGGGTAGACATGAACAAGGTAATGGGGGATAACCATTGTGTCCAGTAGTTTGTTCAGACCATGCCGTCTAGGTGCTGACATTTGTTTTGGGATAGGACATGCTCGAGAGGGCCAACAAGAACAAGGAAAACGCAAAGGCAGAGAACGTATCCTTTGTCGACTCGCAGATCACGGCCATCAACCTCCCTGACTCCGTTGCCAATTGTATTATCAGCAACTGCGTGGTGAACCTTGTCCCCGAGTCAGAGAAGCAGCTTGTTTTCAACGAGATGTTCCGGCTCCTCAAGCCAGGTGGTCGAGTTGCCATCAGCGATATCCTTGCTAAAAAGCCACTTCCAGCAGAAATCCTTAATAGCGTGGCTCTCTATGTTGGCTGCATTGCTGGTGCCAGTCAGGTTCAGAACTACGAGAAGTACCTTCGCAAAGCTGGTTTTGACGGTATGTTCCAAGGGGGTAGTTGGACGACTTTGGATTCTCTAATGGCCATGTATATGTGCTCACGATTCATACAGAAGTCCTTATCATCGACACTAAATCCGACCTGAACGTTTATACAACCGCCAAAGACGATGGCCAGGCTACTAGTGGCTGTGGCACGAAGAGTAAGCCAGGCTGCTGCAGTGGTGGAGTGGTCTCAGCCGAGTCGGCGGCTGAAGTTGCAAATGTTGACTTTAACGAATGGGCGGGTAAGTTATATAACCTGTTTTCTTTTCTTTTCCGACGGAGACTCCACAGACTATTGACGAGGTCATAGGTTCCTTCAAGATATATGCCATCAAAGCATGAACAAGTTCCCGGATCTCTCATTTCCAAGGCCTGAGTGTCCTTCTATCGAAATAGATGAAAGAATATTTAATTCGAAAGGCGGGTAATTGTTAATCAATTCGAAATTAGACTGCCATAATGAATCATGATTTTGAGCAGGAAGCTCAGGCTCTTTCCCAGGCTCTTTCGTTTCTCTCGTCGTTTATAAAGGTAAACGGTCCAGGGATCTTCGCCGAGAAGGATAGACGGATCAAGATATTAAAAAAAAAGGAAGAAAGGAAACTGTTATCATTCCAGGGTTGGTCTCGTTATCGACGACCATGATTTTGGACTTGTCGGGATATCATCCCTGATCCATCACCTGAAAGATGGTCATGTTGTTGACCATGCAGCTTGTGTTTGGTCCGCATCCCAATTCAGCACGCACAGATTGCTCATCGCAGTCCCCTCGCATGCTCGCGATTATTCTTGCGGCCTCTTCGCAAGGAGTGGTGTCTTCACTCCACTGTTTAGATGAGCTGGGGGCGGACACACAGCCCGATGATGGATTATTATTATTAGCGGCATCAACTTGGGGCTTGGTGCTGTCAGCCGGACCAGCGGAGCAGGCCTGTGGTGCTGCAGAGGGTACTCTTTCAGCCACTACTGGGGCTGGACATTCCCGGGGTTCCTGCTTCGGCCGGCAACACCTTGATGGTGCAGGACTTGCGTGAACGGGTGCAGGCGAAGATTGTCCCACGGTTGCTGCTGGCACCGCTGCTGGAACCACCGCTGGCACTGTTGTAGCGGGTAACGTTGCTGGTGAAGTTACTGGTGAAGTTTCTGGTGCAGTTGCAGGCCCTGTTGCCGGTGCAGCTGCAGCTGCAAGGACCCGCTTCTCAGGGGCAGAGCTAGGGGTGTTGTTGTGTTCTTCAGCGTATGCGAGATACTCGTCTATCTTTGCGTCCGTGACCCCAAAGGAGTTCAGCAGCGATCTCAGCATGACATTCTGTCTCGCTACCTTCCTGGCTGCGGTCTGCACTTCGATAGTGACGTCGACTCCATGGCGTTCGTATCGCTGGAGCCGGGCTTCGAGGTCCTGGATGTATTCCTTCCGGCGGGCGCGAGAACGGCGTTGGTTCTCGCGAACACGAGCAGCTGCTGGATTGGCAGCCATGGCCAGCCGTCATGGTCTCCCTAGCGGGGGCGTCTGGAGGCCAGCTGGCGACAAACGGACATGCCAGGTCGATCTTCGAACGCGGTCGTTGATCTGTCGAGGTTCTGATGAAGTCGAGAAAGTCGAAGATTTTTCGCAGCGCAAAAACAAGGCAGAATTTAACGTTTGGCGCCAGAGCCAATCAGAGGACGCCCGTGACATGCAGCGCTAGGCTGTTTATATATAGTACGGAGTATTTCTTCTATTTTATTTACTATCTACTATCTACTGTCCGTATTTACTTGCTGGCTACTTTGCTGTCTCTGGAAAAGGATGGTGGATGGAGGGATATATTTGATAGAGGTCGATATATCCGCCCGAGTGGGATGAGGGATGCATGCCTAACTAATTTTACTCTGCTCCAAGCAGCCAGGAGAAAGAGTACCCTGTGGAAAGACGAGAACCGAGGGAGCAACAAGGGCGAAGCTGAGCAGCAGAGACATGCAGAGGAGGAGAACGGGATACTCCGTAGCGTCGTCTTTTAACGTGGCCGTTGGGGCTATATATGGGGCATTCAATTCTTATATTCATTATTCTCATGCATCCGGAGACGGAGTACGCCGTTTGAAGACAGGCATCGCCGTCTAGATAGCTTCAATTTTATTCTAGAAGACGAGAAAAGTCGGGCCCAACCTTAGCAGTAACATGCTCATGACGAAAAGCACTAGAAGTCCTTAGTGGTGGCCAGTTATGTCCTCCAGTGGAGGCTCTCGAGGGGCCCCGTTAAGGACAGGGATGACTGGTGAGCCAGCTAACTAACTAGTTAGCTAGCTAGTATAGTTACACAAGAAAGTTTGAGCGGCGAGCTACGCTCGCTGCTAGGTATTAGTTATCTAATTAGTAAATAATACCTAGTAGTAAATATTTAATTATATATAGAGATACTTATAATATTAAATAATTAAAGGCTTAAAATTTTATTTTATTAGGCCTAATAGTTATAAATATAAAATTAATACTTTATAGCTAGTAGTAGTGGAAGTATTTTATAGCTACTTAGTTACTATAATAGGGCGTTATATATTAGTAATATAGATCTTAGGGGTATTAATATATAATTATACTACTATTAGTATAATATTCTATAGGTATAGGTCCTTTATATTAATATTAATTTAAAAAGTATTTTCCCTAAATACTTCTCTTCCTTTCCTTATATATAGGCTTCTCTTACTTTAAGAAAGCTCTTTATTGGATATCTAGTAATTAATATTAGATATCTAATGATTAAACTCTTTCTTAGTATTTAATTTCTACTATAGATTTTATCTAGAGGTAGATAATTTTATTACTCTAAATATTTATTTCTAAATTATATTATTTAGTTTATTTATCTAGATCTCTTTATAGTATAACTCTTACTTTTACCTTTTATATTATTATTTAGATAAGGTAACTTATTAGTATATAAATTAGTTAAAGTAGTAGCTATAATATTACTATTACTATCTCCTAAAAAATTATCTAAACTATCTAAGTCCAAACTAGAAGAGTTTTCTAATAAATCTAAATCTATTATTATATTTTTAGACTATATAGAGGAAATATCCTAATCTTTAAACTTTTTAGTTGAAGGAGGAATTACCTT